CAATAATAATATGAAACAATATGATCTTGAAAAAAAAGAAAAAAGAACATAAGCTATTTGAACATATGTTTTACTTCACTGATTTCTTAATCGCATTTCATATTGAGCACCCGATATCAAATCCTCTTCTTCAGTTTCACGTAATTTACGAATTTTACTTTGATTTTTCAAAGAAACAGTAATGTTTTCATCATCTGAATCTTGCCAAACGATTTTCTTTGATGACGAAGACGACAACGTTTCTTTTTTTGGGAGTTATTTAGCAATTAATTAATTAATTAATTTGACATCTAAAATTATTAAGAATCTATAACCAATTCATCATACCTTCATTAGCAATATCATTCTCCTCGCTGATATCATCATCATCATGATCGTCAAGTAATTTTTCATAATTTTTGGTGGGCGTTGGATCAATTGAAAATGATATTGGTTGTAAAGATGAGTCAGTTGAATTCTGTTATTTTTTAAAAATGTGTACGCGTATGTAAAGGTATAAACTTTATAAATTTAACACAAAATTCAAAATATAAAAGTATTCCGATAAATTACTTTCAATTCTTCCTCCTCCTCCTCCTCCTCCTCTTCCTCTTCCTCTTCACTTTCTTTCACTTTCTCCTCTTTATCTTTCACAACTTCTTCTTGTTCTGACTCATCAACTGAAGAATAATACTCATCTTTGTCTTTTTCTTTAATTGTTTCTTTTAATGCTTCATCGATTTCGTAATCGTCAAAAAACATTATTATTGATGATTATTTATCAAATTTTTTTTTAAAATTTTACTTTGATCTATTAATTGCGTAACCTAAAAATTTGATTATCTTTATTTGGTATAGATAGCCAAATATAGCTAGAATATTTGCCAGAAAAAAAAAGATGTCAAAATTTGTCAAAGATCACCAAATAAATGAATGATTGCATCAACAACTGAACTTTTTACGAGAAGGATTAACAAATTAGAACAGCAAAAGGTGAATTAGATGTACTGTATTGTTTACGTCTCTTACTTTGCTTTATCCAATTTTAACTTTGCTGTCAATTTATCCACATATCTGCTTCCTTTTCCACATCATTAGGAAACTAAAACTTTCGTAAACTTACGCCAGTTTCCATTGTTTATCACAAATATAATTTGGTTAATCTTTATATGTGGATATTCGTCAGGAGTTTACAAGTGACTTTAAAGTGTATCTAGTCCCCCAATTTTTGTAAAAATGATATATTAGGTAAGGCTTCCTTCACTCACGTTTACTTACAAAGTTAAAAAATACAATGCTGATCGATTGTCACAAGAAAAACTTTGTTCAATAAACGTGTAAAATTAAATATTGATTTATCAATGATAAAATAAACACTACCGTTTCAGTAGGAGTTAAAAAAGGTGTACCAAAATGATAAAATTATTATAGACGATGGATGATTTAGTTTTGGATTTTTGGATATGTTATTAAATTTAATTCAATTCAATTATTCAGGCCAATAAATGATTAGATGACTGACTGTGCTATTCTGAAAGGAATTAGAAAAGCGATACTTAGAATATGCTTAAAATATACTTTTTTCAATAGTGGAAAATTTCAAATATACTTTGTATAGCATTTCAACTACCTTTCAAGTGTATTTCAATGAATAAGTATGTTTTTAGTATAGTATTACACGCTCAAAACATACTTAAGGCATCCACCAAATATTTTAAGGTACATTTTGAGCACATTTTAAGTACCTAAGCTTTTGTAGGGTAGCGTTTTGAACCTAAGGTAAGATTCTTGAAGATTGTAGTATATTTATGCTAAACAGCTCCAAGGAAACCGGCAACAATGAATAAAAGACAACATTTTACCCTTCCGTGAAAGTGTTAAATTGATCTGATGCTATTATCTGCTTTTTGGAAAAGAAAAGAAATTTGTGACTTGAAAATACGTACGAAAACTAAATCGCAGTCCAGTAGATTTTATGAATCTCAATAATGATAATATTGATGTAACACATAATCAAAACTATATACAATCCGAGAAATAAACAAATATATAAAGATCAAAAAGGAGATAACATCAAAGAATTCTATTAATTGGTATGTTTTGATGCTTTGGTTTAGAAATCTCTGCTCAGAAATTGTTTTAATTTATATCATATAAAAGTCGTATTTTTTATTTAAATCGTTGTTTATGTATTTATATTTGATATCTGGTAAGATTGGCCTATGCCTGATATAATTTATTTAGAAAAAGGGACTATAAAAAAGATTTTATTTGTGTTTATACTTAGCATGGATTATGATAATATAATATTAAAAAAATTCATTCGCTACAACAAGCTGGATTAGATAGCTGTGAGTGAACATTTTTGGGGGAAGTCTATAACTTCAGTTACAGAATTATTCAAAAACAGAAGATGCTACACGCATTTTTTTTAAAAAAACTCGATCATAGAATGATAAAAAATCACGGATATGATAATGTTTTTGATTCTCATGGTAAAAATATATTGCATTACATTTTAATTTCTATTATTAAAAATTCAAAATTATCATCACATATTACTTGTAGAAGAATTTAATATTCAATGATGAAAGATCCGAATCAGACTTTCAATATATAGGCAAAGTTTCTTTCAAATTATTTACTTAAAACTCAAACATGCTCACTAAAACCATTTCAATAAATAGTAGAAGAATAAAAATCTTCTTCCTCTACTTTATATTAATGATAACACCAAAATTTGTATATTTATTTTTTTCTAGAAAACTTCCGATATGTGTGATAAAAATATTTTATGTATTAATAAATATACATATGCGCTGATTTTGTTTGAACCCCAAAATCCAGTACGGTATGATCATAACGTTATGAATACTTTATACTAGCAAAAACCCATTGGTTTTGAGGTGGGGCCATTGGTTTGACGGGTTGATGGATAGTAAATTAGTTTTTTTAGCGGAGCAAATAATTTTTTTTAGGGTAATTATCATTCTACCGACCAGTTTACACATTAAAAATACTCGTGTTTAACATCGAGACACAATAAGACATAAGGTTCGAAAAAAGGCCCAAAATACCAAATCGGCTGATATGATATATACATAATTTCAAAATAACAATAGCACCTCGATAAATAAACACCAAGGATCTTATTTTTTAAACAAAAGTTGTTAGAACTAACTACATGTATCCTCTTTCACATCTATCTAATCGGATGGATGGTAAAGGAATTAAAACAATTTATTAATACCAATGTTTATTGTATGTCTGTCTCATACTAAAATTTTCATTATTGCATGTTAGGGCCTTCCATTTGGAATGTTTCATGGTCGGATATATGTACAATAAACCAGTTTTGAATGCAGAAACATACAATAATTACGTCAAAAAGTCGAGAATGGGTGTCACTTACGTGCTACTATTTTAAGCTCAGCGAGCATGCAATAACTCACATTTATACTAGTGTTCAAAACCAGAATTGAGTTCGTCCGATACAGTCTCAGTCCCAAAAGACCGGTCTTTAGATGCAGTCCTTTGAGACTGCTTAAGGTTGTTTGTTAACTCGATAGTATTTTGATGTAAATTACATATTGCAAAGGCATCTTTTTGGTCGATTATTTTACTATTACGTTTTATAAACGAGTTCGAGTTAACTTTGAACAAGCTTTTATGTACAATACCCGTCAATTAATTTACCTGCGAATTTACTTACAATAATCCTGCCTACCGCCTCTTTCCTGTACCTAGAAAGCTTCGGCGAATCTGTAGGCACGCTTTATGGTACAGATTTAATTATTTTGTTCCTAAATAAATTATTAATGAATATTAATGAAAAGAGGCTAGGTCACACAACCCTAGTCAAAACTAAATCCAAAAAGCAAACAGAAACAAAAATGAAATTTATTAGATATTTATTTAAAGGATAAAGAAGTACCAGCTGGCGAAGGTTAATCAAATAATAGATAGATAGAATGTACATTGTATATTTATTTATTTATTTATTATTGTTGCTTTTTTCAATTAGATTATTTAATTGATTCTGCCTTCATTTTTTTAACATGAAAAATATATGCGTTTTTTTTTTGATAAATAACATAAATAAGTAGTAAAATTTATCGTAATAATAAAAAAATAATGAACTAAAAAAATGGTGATTTGCTCCCGGCGAGGATCGAACTCGCGACCTTCGCGTTGCTCAAGTATAGGATTCAGGCCTATAAGCACGACGCATTGCCACTTTGCTACGGGAGCTGAATTTATTATTTTTTTCCAATAATTTATCAATTTAAAGTTTATATTTAAATTTATTAATAGAATGGGCTTTGAAATTTGAAGAAAAAAATTCATTTTGCCTTTCCTTCTTGATAATATCATTATTTTTGTTTATTTATTAAAAAATATTTTTATATACCAAACTTACAAAGGAACCAAATTTCTTTCGTGACAAGTTAGTTACATTTATAGCATAGATATTAATTAATTAATATTAACTAAAAAATATTAAACATAAATCACACCATGAATCAATTAAAAACATTCGCCCATCTACCACAACAACATACTAACACCGTTGCCAATAATAGTAATGTTACGACATAGAGCCATTATCACCTAGATGACTGGTGTGCTGCATGTGAAATTTTGCATGTCAATTTAAAATTGACACCGTTGTTACAACTCAAAAAATACGTGTAAAGGGTTTCATTGTCCGAGGCTCACTATATATATACAGTGTGTTGCAAAAAAAAAACCGGAAAAATCAAATTAATCATCATGGAACAACCATTGCATTAATTCACATAGAAAATATTTCCATCCGATAGGTTAAGAGCAGAACTTTTATTGGATATATTTTAATACGAAATACTTTCACTATTGATTTTAATTGCGGGCTGACATCTTGATTTTTTTATCAAAGTAAATTAATTAGAAATAAATCAGGAGTTGGATTTCATTTTTCTATGATGAATCATCTCACATCTTTAAATTTTAACTTCTATCACGTTATTTATAATTGATTACCAAAATTTTAAAGAAATCTAGTACATAATAATAATTAATAATAAATTGTGATATGTCACGTGATTCAAAAGGTGATTCCGTTTCTTCGAACGATTAACTCTCCTATAAGCCACATCGTCCGTTTCATACAACTTATTAATATTGAAATAGTTATTTGAGAATGGAGAGTTAGCAATCTGGTACATTTATTAGGTAAATGTGTCTCATTTATTCTAATAACATAATTGCAAAAAAGCAAGTAAAATTCAACCATATTGTGACAACTAATTGCCAGATTCAGTTAGAAAATGGTTTAAAGTGATTTAAAAAAGCAAAGCTTTGTTTAAAAATTTATTTGAGTCAAGCTGATGAATTTTTAGTAATATTATAAAAAGTTTTTTGACAACAGTAACTTTCCGGTTTTTTTTTTGCAACACACTGTATATAACTTATAGAAAATACAGTTTTTTAAAAATAAATTTTTTAATTGATTTAACTTAATAATTAACATCTGGTTCATTCTTCTGTATTTTTAAATGGTGATTAAATAATCTTTTCGCTCATTAAATTTACAACCTTCTTCAAATTTAATGTGTCAAATATAACCACGATTCTTCAAGATCAATGAAATTTGTTCTTAATTCTAATTGCAAGGCTGTCTTGTCTGCCTATCATATTCTTTTTATTCACGAAAGATTATATAAACTTATACTTTAAAGATTTTAGTATAATTGCGTGATTAAAATCTTGGGCAGTAATGT